AGAGTAAACGGGTCAAATTCCTTGATAATTACACTGGTATCATCCGCAAAGAGAATAGGGGTGGAAACCTTATTTAGGATTAACGGAAGATCATTGATATAAACTAGAAAAAGCAAGGGCCCAAGAATGGAACCCTGGGGGACTCCATGAGAAATTTCACCCCAGTTGGAATAAGTACTTGAGCTAGAATGTTTTGATTGTAATCTTATTCTTTGAAACCTACCATTCAAATAAGATGCTATTAATTTGTGAAGTGGGCCAGATATACCATAAAATTCCAATTTAGATAACAATATCCCATGGTTAACACAATCGAAAGCTTTTTCCAGATCGCAAAATAATCCTCCCACACTATGCCCATCATTAAGGGCTTGGATTATCTGATTCAGTAATTTGAAGGTAGCTTTATCGGTTGATGAATTTGGCCTAAATCCAAATTGTTCGTTTACTAATATGTTATTATTGACCAAATGATTACTAAGTCTACTATAGATTACCTTCTCAAATATTTTTGAGAAGGAGGTCAATAATGATATTGGTCTATAATTACTAATACAATTCCTGTTACCCTTTTTATATATGGGTTTTATTTCTGAGAATTTAAGACGATCTGGAAAAATACCAGTTGATAAGGATCTATTTACAATATGGGTTAATGGGGATAAAATGTAATCTACACTGTTTTTTAAAATTTTGATAGGGATCTCATCGTAACCATACGAATTAGTCATTTTCAATTTATTAATGATGTTTGCTATTTCTTTAGCTGTGGCAGGATTGAAATTAATTTTAGGAAAAGTAACATTAAAAACATCAATTAAATAATCATAAAAATTTGTTTTTTCATTTGGATTACAATCCTTTTGAATATTATTGATAATTAATTCGGGTACAGATAGAAAATATCTATTGAAGGATTCAGAAATATTATTATAATTGGACGTAGATCTATTAAAATTATTGTTAAACATGGGCAAAATATCATAATGAGATTTCCTACCAGTCAAGGTTTTAACGACATTCCAAGCACTTTTGACTCTATCATTAGAGTTTATAATCCGTTTATCATAATAAATACGTTTAGTTGCTATAATATCACGAGCCAAGGATTTGCAATATGCCTTGTAATAACTTTTTATATTAGGATCACTGCTATTCCTACTGATCATGTACAAGTGCCTTTTAACATTACATTTGGTTTTTATACTAGATGAGACCCATGTTTTGTTTTTCGTAATATAGGGCTTAACATTTGCCTTAGGAAAACTAGAATTAAAAAATCTTAAAAATATATTTAGAAAAGAATTAAACATAGTATTGACGTCCTTTTCTTCAAATACATCATTCCACATCTCATAACTAAGTTTATAATTAAAATCATCAAGTGAGCATTTGTCTATTTTCCTAGTTATTAAACACACTTTATGAGGAGATGGTAACACAATATCGTGGATCAAGATGAATTGAGCATCATGATCCGATATACCATTGGGTATAGCGAATACTTTAAAAGACTCCAATCTCCAATAATCAATGAAAATATTATCAATGGCTGATTTGGATGAATTTTGAATTCTTGTAGGAAAGTCAATAACACTAAAAAGATTATATGAGTTCAATAAAGAATTCAATTGACGTTTTCTGTCGTTATCAGTAAGATAATCAATATTAAAATCACCACATACAATAAGCTCTACTTTAGTATTGTATAATAATTTTAATACAGAATCCATTTTATGCATAAAGTGTAAAAAGTTACCAGAAGGTGCTCTATAAACTACCAGTATAAGAATAATTAATAAGTCAACCTGAATTTTCAGAGCGGACAATTCGACATCAAAATCCAAACAATATGTTTCCAAATTTACAGCAACACAATTTAAATGATTTTGAACAAATATACATGTTCCACCTTTGAGTGCCTCCCTTCTACAATATGATGCACCCAATTTATAATTTTCAACCACCATAGCGTTCAGTTCATTGTGTCTTAAGTGATGTTCGGTAATACAAATAATATGAGGAAAATCTGGGTATAATGAACTCAATAATTCATCCACCTTATATCTCAGACCACAAATATTCTGATGGTATAATTTAATAGACTGACGTGTAACAGATGATTTAATATCATTATAACCCAAGAGACCTACCCTTTAAGCTGTAATTTGTTTATGATTGACATCAAAATTTGAGGGTTCCTCCCAGGCCCGACTACAATCCTCTATACAGTAAGTTGTTTTTTGTTGGCAGTGACTTGTGGCAGCTGTTGAGGTCGCAGGGTTACCAACTAGACTTGGTGCCGTATGCTGACTGGTACCAAAAAGTGAAAGAGACCGCCAGGAGCACCAGTGAGCACTCAGCAACCCTGGCCAACCTGCTGTACCTTCTCGATGCTCTTGTTATGTAAGTAGTCACAGAACTCCTCTCCATTTTCGGTGACCTGCACCTCAGTGTGTGCTTCCACTCACCTTCCTGGTCCCCATTTGCCTGGAATGATCAGGCAGGCTTGTTAGAGAGAGGTTGTCATAACAACTGGACACGCTGATTGAGACCTGCTCCTCCTGAGCAGGAAACTTTCCTCCCTCCATCCCTCACACCCAATGGCAGAAATGGATCAAGTTTCCATAATGCTGTGAGAGGAGAGAAGCTCAAGATGAGGGACAGTATCGAACACAATAACCATATTCTCTCTGGCAGCTTGCAAACATTAGTGTAACTGTTTTCTTAGAATCAGCATGGCCCAGATGTCATATCCCATAGGGATATTAGTGAATATAAGGGCAGATCGTAATAAGTGTTAAAACATGTGGTTTTGTAATCAATTGGTAGTCTTCTTGGATGATTGCTATTGAATTCTTGAGAAACTCATCTGTTTGAAGCACTTTCCCTTTTGTTTGTAAACACCAGCTGCATGTGTGGTGCATTAACTGTGTCTCCGCCATTTACTGGCACCAGTGAGAACCCTAACAGGACACTTACTAACTAGGTGACTAAGAGATTGACTAACTCCACGGAAGTGAGCCCTTCTTGAGAAGCCACCAATCATGTAGCCACTCAGGAATTTCCCAACTTTTTGTGAAACGCTAAGGTTCATTACTGTATTCATAAGAGTCTGCCCCTGATCTCTATCCTGAGCCAGATCAATCCAGTCCATACCATCCCATCCTCCCACCAACATCTAGGTCTTCCTTGTTCTCTCTTTCCTTCTGACTTTCCCACACAAATCCTATATACATTTATCATCTTCACCAGGCATGCTACATGTCTTGCCCATCTCATCCTCCTTTACTTTATCATTCTATTTATACTTGGTGAAGAGTACAAGTTATGCCTAACAGGCCACTAGTGTGTACACATCCCTATGGGGCATGACTTTGACCTGCCCTGTACAATGGCATTGCTGTTCACATAAGACATATTGCAGTGGCCCGGACTCCCTCAGCAAGTACTCCACATTTGCACAGACAAATCTGCAGGCCTCCCTTCAGATGCATGGCCTCACTTACCCTCCTGTCGACTCAGCACTGATGCATACATACATCAGTCACCTGACATCAATCGGCCTCATCCCACACCCCACCAGGGGCCAACAGAACAGTAAGTTTGTGTTTCTGTTCCATGCCTTACACTTCACTTGGGATTTGAGAAGGAAAGCGTTCAAAATGTTATTTAAATACCTCAAGGCATGAGACTGCTTGGAAGACCTAGTCACAGATGGGAGAATCATAGTGCTGTGGATGCAACTAAAAATAATTTAACTTCCTCACTCTGTCACCAGCCAAGGGTGTGATAATGAGCTGTCTGGTCAGGCTATCTCAGGCCTGAGGGGGTGGTCATAGATGAGTGTAGAGCGACAGTGAGGGGTTGATTAGTGGAAACTTGGAGAGACATTTGCTTGAATGCCATTTGATCCATCACAACTCTTGCATGAAGTCACATATGGTTGAATACAAAGCTCTGTGACAAGAAACCAGTATCTAACTACATGAGCTATGGCTTGATTGATTAAAATAGATATTCATTCATAGCTTGCTTGTCTTTCTCTTTGACCTTGAAGGTGGAAGCAGTATATTCCTCTGAAATGTGAGTGAACTTCTATCGGATTAAATGTCACATGTCAGAGCCTAGTACAGGCTGTATTTTGTAACCGGCTTTAGGATTGTCCATGAGAAGAAGTGAGAAGCTTGGCATGACATACAGTAGTAGGAAGTCTGTTATTTGAAATATACACTAAAACTTGATAAATTAAGTGTTGTTCATAATTGTCTGTTATGGGTAAGATGTGAGTCTCTGTCATGTTTCTAAAAACTGCTTTCCATAAAAAGACAAAAAATGGTTTTCATTAAGATATATGTTTTTTATTTGAAACATTCTTCAGTGTGCTAACTTTAACTTTATCTTTGTAATTGATGGACATCAAGGCCAATGAAGGATGTAAATTACAGTAGTATATTTGCAAAATATGTATACCTGACTTTGGTATAGATGTTTCTACCTTTGTTAATGTGGGTGGGACAGAACGACTGGTTAAATTTCACAGAGCTCATAACTTAGATAGACATTAACAATGTTGTAATATGCATGTAGGTATATTCCAAGTGACACATGCACTTTGAGGGGACCATATATTAAAAGAAGATTAATAAACAAAGCCATGATAACAGAAGCACAGCAGTTCCCTCTGCTATAATTTTAAATACCTGACGATGACCATATTGGTTGAAACATGTAGTGAAAAACTTTTAAAGCGAATAACCTTTAATAAGTTTTATAGAAAGACATGTTGCACATGAGATGGTGGAACCAGCAGCATTTGATACTAAGTGGTGTGCAGCAGAATGCTACAATGTAATAGTATATTCTTATCTCTGGAAGTGGTTTTGTTTCCTTACAAATGTTAATCTTTCCAAATCCAGTCCTCAGATATGTAATCTGTTACCCATTATAAATTTTACAACATGAATTCCAAACGATTCAAGTACAGCAGTTGACAATACTTGTGTGGAGGGTACAAGGTTAAGCTCATTTTCCACATCTTCCACAGTTAAGGCCTATCAGAACATGGTGCCCAGTTTATTACAGTTAATAAAACTGGTACAGAAACAAACTTAATACCCTTGAAATGGAGACAAATGATGAAACAATCACTCAGTTTCAGCTTTAACTCATGAGAATGTGTTTTCAAAGACAGTGATACCGACTGCAACTTTAACTCATTTGTATATGCTTCTTTAAATATGCCTGAAGCTAGTGTTACAGTTCAGTGTAAAAAGTACAGGTAAAATAAAGAATGACTGAATTACACATGGATTAAAAATATCTTACGAACATAAAAGAAGTGTCGTTCTCTCTCGCTTTGCTGCCTGCTCTGTGCTAGTTTCTTGCTTGGCTTACTGTTTGAGCCTGAAGGTGGAGGCAGTTAGTCCTTCCAAAACATCTAATGGCTTTCAGCCAGTCTAGATGGCATCGTACCCCAGAAAATAGAACTCTTGAATGATCATCATGTTTGCTGTCTTCTGGGAGGTGATGAAGTGTAGTCTGGTAGGTGTAGGCAGGACTACAAGATGTCACACACCCCATTGCAGTAATCTTCACCCATTCCATTATTCAAGGACAGTATCTGGGGCCACAGCTGTAGAGATACAAGACTGGAACCTCCCCATTCTCCTGTACATTACAGTACCCCAGTTTTGTGCTCACGCCTTCCTTGTCGTTGCAGCTGCTTGTTTGCTTCATGGAAAAGTGGCACTAGTAACTGGGGCCTCATCAGGCATTGGAGCAGCCATAGGTGAGCACCTGGCTGCAGCTGGAGCTAAAGTGGCACTAGCTGCACGTCGGACAGACAGACTGAAGGACCTGGAGGCCCAGATTGCACGACGGGGTGGCACAGCTGTAGCTATTACAATGGATGTGTGTGATGAACGGCAGGTATAGCAACATTTCAGACTGTGTGACCACGTGTTGGCATGTTGTCCAGCACTGCATGAAAGCATTGTTAAATTCAGCAAGCATAAACATAAGATTAGTACTGAGATAGCTCAATCAGTACAGTGACTCGGGTACAGGGTGGATAGCCAAGAAAATTGGGTTTGACTCCCAGCAAGAGTTAGATATTTCTCTTCTCTACAGCATCCAGACTGGCTTAGGGAATCACACAGCCTCCTATTGAATCAGTATGGGAGACCCTTTCCCCAAGGCATGATTCACACCACTCACCATATACAGCTGAAGTTAGAGTGCATGGAGCTATACCTCCACTCCATCATAAGTCTTGATGATGTAAGGCTGAATTAAGCACAGGCATAACTTCCCCATTACCTTTTCTTGTATAAAGACATCATAGTGTGATCTGATGCAGGTGCACGATGGTGTGAAGCTCGCAGAATCGCTGCTAGGACCGGTGGATATTCTGGTGAACAGTGCTGGGGTTCTGTACTACACGTTGATGAAGAATGTCCATGTTGAGGAGTGGCATATGATGGTTGACGTGAATGTGAAGGGTGTTCTCAACTGTGTCGGGACCATTCTAGGCAGGATGGTGGAGCAAAGACGAGGCCATATTGTGAACATCAGTTCTGATGGTGGCCGCAAGGTATGTAGGTATCCAGTACCTTTCTCTGAGCAACCTTTTGATAAGTAGAGCAGTTCATTACCAGTCATGGATTTCAATTGCCTTCGGTTTTCATTTAGCATCCAGTAGTTTGAAACTGATATTTGGTTTTTATGTATCAGCTGTTTTCAATTTATGTGCACAAGGATAAGATTGGTGGCTCCTGTACCAAGAGAGCTGCACTTCCTGGGGCCAGGACTGTAATGGTATCCAAAACCTGTTCTCTAGACTCTACATTACCAATGCATTACATCTTTTTGTGACACTTATTGTATTATGTTATTTATTTCTTTGTATTCATTGAAGGAGTGTGCAAATCCATTAAGCTTTGGTGAGAGCTAACAGTGATTCACGTAACACACAATATATGCTACCATCCCTGCTTATCACATTGTTTCCCTCAGCACCCTGTTTTCATATACTATCAGTCTGTGTTCTTCCTTCGTCATAAGAGACTAAAAATTCAGAGCCATACAAAATAACAGGTAAAATTCTAGTTTTATGTACTTTAATCTTTAGACTTTTAGTTCTGATGTAGAGTCTGGCTGTCCTGACTGAGGTTTTCATGAACCTCAGTCCCTCCTGCCCATATCAGAATAGTGCTCCTTTCTGCCACTTTGTGTTTTGATGATCCAGTCATCTGACGCTGTGTAGTGTGAGCTGCTGACACACAGCAATGTTGTGACTTTATTGTTTATTTGATGACTCTTATCAGTAACACAAAGTATATTGTGTTGGTTGATTGGATGACAGTGAAAAATGAACTGAAAAAATGGAGAAGGAAGTAATCATGTCTAAATACTGGTATTTACCTGGAGGGCCTGAAGAAAACCATTGTTTTTGTCCCAGTTGAGATTGAAATTGGATACTTCTCAGTTACAAGACAGAAGCGTTACTGCTTGAGTCAACTTGTTCAGTGGCAACATTTTAAAATAAACCATAAAAAAATAAATTCAGTAGAATGCTGCTTATCTGAATTAGTGACAAAGACAGTTTGGATAATCGAAAATTTGAATAATGGGATTAAATTCCTATTCACAAAAAACCACCATTGTAATGTACTGTAAAAGGCAAATGATAAAGTTGTCCCTGTGCTTAACTAATGAAGCACTACTCCATGAAGACGTGTGGAGGAGTAGATATATAGATCCACATTTTCTTGACCTCAGCACTAGTTGGAGGTGGGTGGTCAGCTTCATGCCCTGGCCGCTTTCCCCACAGGGAAAGAGCCCCCTGTTCCCATTGTATAGGAGGCTGGGTGGGGCCCAGATCCAGTCTGGATGACATGGAGAAGTGAAAATTCTTGACCTCACCGGAACTCCAACTCCAACCCCTTGGTTGCCCAGCCCGTAGCCAGTCGCTATATCAACTGTGCTACCCCATAACTATTATAATGTACTGTACTATTATAATAATAAAAACTAAAGAAACTTTATTTGGAAGTATCGAACAATGATGTTTGTTTAGCAGATGCATTCCTGGTTGTGGTGATTCAGTTAATTGGCAATTTGGATAATCAGCATGTACTGTAAGTAATGTTTTCATTTTATGTAAGGTAAAAGAAGGTGAAATATTCTTAACTGAAGAGTATCTAGATTCCATGAAACTAATTTCCCCTTCATTCTTTTGTAAATGAAATTTTATCTGTTTCTGTTGTTGAAACTTCACTTATTGTGATTGTTATCACAGTTACTTCTGTCAAAACGTCAAGTTGAAGAATATTATATTGCTAAGAAGTTTTAACATTTATTCATCAGGGGTTTCCTGGCCTGGCAGTGTACTGCGGAACAAAGTTCTTTGTGGAGGGCTTGTCACAGGCAATGCGTCAGGAAGTGGCAGAGTTTGGGGTCAAGATTACCTGCATCCAACCTGGAGATGTTAAGACAGAACTGTTTCAGAGGACCACTGACCTGGAGGTTGGTTGCATATCTTTACCTCATGCCACATCACAGAGTTAAGAAGAGGAGGTGTTGCAGTAGTTTTTGTCAACACATTTTCCAATACCCTGAATATTGGAAGTATCGCTGTGCATCTGTCAGACTCAACAGTGTCTTGAGAATGTCAGAGAAATATGGCAGTGGTGCAGATGCTTAGTTCTGTTTAGTTGCACTGTATAAGGGTTCCTGCTTTGAGACTTCTCTCTGAGTTGTCGCGCAACAGAGAAGCTGACTGTGCTGTAGGCTATAGTGGTAGAACAGTAGATGTTGCATAGAGTAGACTCCCCATAGAGGGTTACTGTATGAGGTCTGACTTCAAATTTCTTTGACTCTGAAGGTCACTGTGTTCTCAGATATAACACTGTATATTCTAGTCGCTACCCTGAAGATGGAGGCAGCAAGTTCCTCTGAAATGTTAGGTGTATATCAGACTGCACCTATCACATTCCACAACTCACCAGTCTTCATCACTGTTGCCATGAGGAACTCAGATCTCAGATTACCAGATATTTTTGTGGTCATCTGTGTTTGTAGGTGAATTCGAACATTTCAGAGGTATATTCTCCCTCTGGCTTTTAGGTAAACTCTGAAGATGTAGGCAGTATAAAGGGAACAAGTGATAAGCAATTGACAGTAGCTTCAGCAAACTACAGTAAATTCTTTCTGTACTTGAGTGACATCTGGAGGAGAGAAACGGCATTTATATGTATAGTTGCATGGGGATTGGCACTGGTGCATGATAAACTTCAACCTGTGAAGTTATGGGATCGGCGGAGAATGCGTTATGGGGCAGTAAGGTTTCTGTGATGATATTTTCTGGGGAGCCAGTAGATTAGAAAGCAGACCCATGATCATTATGTGTCACCAGCCAGAGTTGTGCAGAGACTGCCATTTCTGTAGTGTTTTATGTCGGTAAATTTAAAATCCTTAAAGTTTACTTCAGAATGATGAAAAAATCACTCAAAATTCACAAAAATGTCAACCTTCCAGTCTTCTTCTGCTTCCAAGATTTCTAGCACAGTCTAGACAGAGGCTTGGATTTCCATATAATCGTAGATTTAGCGCAGAAACAGTACAAACACATTCCAAGACAGTTTACTACAAAAAAACAGGAAGATTCTCATTTTACAATCGATTTTAGGCTATAAGAAGTTTTTGGGACTTTAAACACACTTAATGTGATTGGGATGGGTAAGATTGTAATGCCATGAAACTCATTCCCAAACTGTAAATATTAGCTCAGGAATGAACCTGAGATTATGAAATACTGGCATCCTTTGGATTGAGAGATTTTATCTATGCATGCCACAGTATTGGTTGAACGATGGCACAGCACATTTCATAGCTTGAGATAATCGTACCCATTCATTCATTCGTTTCATTTCTGTTAATCCAGGCTGATGCAACCGTTGGATATAGAGGAAGTCAAAGAACATGCAGTCATAAAAAGATTTTGTCAAAATTAAATATAAGATTAACAAGCAAATATAAATATTACAAGGTAACAATTTAAAAAATTATAAATATAGATAATATTTTGAATTAATAAACAGATAAAACGATTCAAATTATCTAACTTTGTACATAAAGAGTTATCCACTATATAAAATGAAATGAAATTTTAATACCATATTAGCACATCTATTACTGCACTGAAGTCATGGAAAGATGAATCATTTTATAAAAGTGTGCTAATTAATAGAGGTACAACCACAAAACTACTTGAGCATAAAATACTACCAGTTTGTAATTAGCAGTCATAGAACAAGAAAAAGATAATAAATGACCATAAAATATAACAACGATTTTATGCTGT